TGCTGCAATTATAGAATTTTGTAAAGAGAAAGAAAGAAATTTAGATAAGCTGATATCTCTTTGCACTGATGGATCACCAAATATGGTTGGTAAATATAAAGGATTTGTTACTCTTTTTGGCCAAAATGTGAAACATGAACTACTATCTTTTCATTGTATTGTTCATCAAGAAGCTTTATGTGCTCAAACATTTCCAGTTGAAATTAACCAAGTCATGGCACTAGTAGTGAAAATTATTAACAAAATCATAGCTTCAGCTCTGAACCATAGACAGTTTCGTGCATTACTTGATGAAGTTAATGCCCGATACAAGGATCTTCTAATGTTCAATAATGTACGTTGGTTATCGAGAGGGGCTGTTTTGAAGYGCTTTACAGATTGTTTCGAACCCATAAAAGATTTTTTAACGAATAAAGGCATCAACTACCCCGAATTGAGCGATGATATGTGGCTACAAAAATTGTATTTTGCTGTAGATTTGACTTCATCTCTAAATCACTTAAATAAAAAGCTTCAAGGAAAGGGAAATACAGCACATATACTACTGGAAACTGTTCTTTCTTTCGAACAACAACTTCAGCTTTTTTCAGAAGATATTGGCAGCGGAAATCTTGATCATTTTGAATCTTTGAAAGAGTACACGGAAAGCTCAGGTTGTATTATTGATTTGGAGTATTTTAAATCGGCCATTCAATCCATGAAAAATTCTTTTAGTAGACGTTTTGAAGATTTTCAAAAATATAAATCTACGTTGAAGTTCTTGACATCACCACTCATTGCGGAGACTGGACAAATTAATTTTCCATCGTTTCCACATGTCAACAAAAGACTATTTTCATTGCAATTAATAGAAYTAAAAACCAAAGATCTTTGGTCTACAAAATTTGAGAATTTGAAAACGGATATTGAAAATCTGGAAAGGGAAAAAGGATTTWTAGCTGCGAACCATAAATGGACGGAACTCGCTAAATGTCAAAAAGAAGAGCAAGTTATATTTGACGTATGGAACAGTCTTCCCGAAAGTTTCAGCCAATTAAAAATGGTCGCTTTCGGAATTTTGACCATTTTTGGATCTACTTACATTTGTGAGCAAACATTTTCAAATATGAACTTTATTGAGAATAAATTAAGAAATCAGCTGAATGATATCAGCCTTGATGCTTGTTTGAAGTTGAAAACTACAGATTACTCTCCAGAATTGAATAAGCTGTCTGGAGAAATTCAGTGTCAAAAATCCCACTAATATTAAATGATACGTTATTTTGTGTTTTATTGTGTTTAATTATATAATATTATATTTGTATAAACAATAATAATAATAATAATAATAATGAATTAATGAAATAAAGTTTTTCTATATTTTCTAAATTTAAGACGTATTATACCTTTTATGTTTTTATTTTATTGCCTACTAAAAAAAGGTTGTTCAAACCTGTGCGGCTACCTGGATATCATAGTTTTGTATTTTTTTAAAAGAATGGCTCTTTCCTACAAAAAGGTTCCCGACCCCTGGTTTAGAGAATAGGATTTTTTTTTATTAAYAATCAAAAACTATACGTAATGTGTAACATTGTAATGTTATAATATATATTATATAAATACATATGGGTTACTTATAATATACTGACGTTAGAACAAGCTAAGATATTAGCTAATGAACTTCAAATTGAGGCTAACTTTCCTGTCCCAACTCGAATTCGTCGTAGAACTACTCAATTTGCATATGAATCACAAGACGAACCTATTAATGACCCAAAACAAAGTTTTAAAATTAACTTTTTCAACCAGATTTTAGACACCGCTATCCAATCAATAAATGACAGATWTTCTCAACTTACAGACCACAGTGATCTATTTTCATTTCTTTATAATATAACTGTGATTTCTGATTTTGATGAACTTATGAAAAATTGTAAAGATTTACAAATGGCACTAACTTCAAGTGACGGATTAAGTTCGGATATAGTTGCTGTTGAACTGTATAGTGAAATTATATCTTTGCAAAAACGTTTTACTTTCGAAACATGTGATCCGAAATCAGTTCTTGAGTACATATGTAGAAACAATTTGATAGAACTTTACCCTAATACTTATGTGATACTAAGGATTCTATTGACTACACCTGTAACTGCTGCGACAGCCGAGAGCAGWTTCTCAAAACTTAAAATATTGAAAAATTATTTGCATTCAAATCTATCTCAAGACCAATTAGTGGGATTAGCCACTCTCTCTATTGAAAGCGAAATTGCTGAAGAACTAGACATGGATGAACTTATACAGAACTTTGCTTCACAAAAAGCAAGAAAAGTCAATTTTAAATAAAATTAAGTTTGTTTTATTTTATTTTATCAATATTATTATTATAATTTGTTTAACTTTTTAAGATTGTTTTAAAGGTTTAATAATTTGTAAGATTAAAGTGAAAAATATTTTAAAAAGCAATAAATATATGATTATATTATGAATAAAAAAAAATCGTGCCTATGTATTTTTGTAATTTTTTAATCACTATATGACTAATTTATGAGGAACTTTGTATTCAATTTTCAAGTATTTTGATAGGGCC